CACACACACACACACACACACACACACACACACACACACACAAATTTATATTCAAACACACACCCAAACTTTCACTCAAACTTTCACTCAAACACACACTAACTCTCATTTGCACACTTACAAATTTGTGCAATCTCTAATAGATATAATACAAAGACATTATTACATCTTGTTTCTCAAATATCCCCCCTCTAGCATGTTGTAGCATAGATGGTCTAGTAGTTAGGTTGGTGGGCTCACATCCAAAAGGATTGGGGGTTCAAACTCCATCAATGCTAGGTCCTTGTGAAAGGCACTTAACACGAATTTTCCTCACTTTACTCATGTTAGAATGGGTATCCAGCCATAGATAATTGTTAGTGTTTGAGCACTTAACAATTAAGATGTTTGTACTATATGGTTTCTGGGAAGCCAAGAATGTTTCTAAGTAATTCTTCTAGGGTCTGCTGGGGTAATAATTATTAATAATAATATTAATATTATAGATTGTAAAGTGCTGAGAGCTTGCTGTTGAGCGATGATATGCACCATACAAATGATTCCTAAGTGGGGAGGTGTCAAAATTGAGAATCTCTATCTTTCTGCTGGGATGTTGTATTCCTCTCAGCCCGGGTTGGCCCTGACAGACAGGGTTGGAAGCTCACATCCTATATGATCTAAAAATTGAGTAGATGGGGTTATTTAAAAACACTAACTTAAAAAAACAAAACAATTTTTTTGCTTGTCGTCCCCAGGTATCTCCTCTCTCTATCCCTGGGACTACGGTGTGTGACTGTGTTGACGCCCCAGACTACACGTTTGCGTCTTCCTTCTACATTCCTCCAAATCTCATAGACTTTGACCTAGTTTTCAAGTCAGTGAACAGGACATCACAGAACAACACAATAGACAATATTTATGAGGCCTGCTGACAAAATGAGTCTCTTCTTGCAATCAACGAATGAAGATATCGGACCGAAATTAACATTGGGAACAAATTTTCATATTTTCTATTGATATAATTTTTTTCAAGTTTATGATAAAGCAAAATAAGGTAAGACAAGACATGTCTTTTATTATTTATTACTAATAAAGTGTACAAACTTCACCTATAAAATTGACATATCTATTTCCCGTAGGGCCAATATACGAGAAGTAACTCTTTTTGTCAGCATGCCTCCCATTTCAATGCACATTGTATTAACTCTTTACCCTAGTGGGGCGTAAACCCACCATGCCAGGGTTCTCTTTTGGTACGAAATGTAAAAGTGACATATACATCTCTAAATTGGTCTCTAAATCAAAACAAATGAAAAGTATTTTGATAGATCTTCATCCAATGAAAGAACGCCTGGTAAAAGAGACTTGTTTTTGGCAATTGTCTAAAACGAATTTGACGTCCAAGTCGTAAAAGAATGTGCCTGAGCCACTGCCTGTGACTAACTGAAACAGCAGTTCTGACCGTGAGTTGCTGGAAGTGGCTTGAGAGAGAATAGGAGTTAATATACAATTAATGTACACAAGACGTCACCGCCCAAAACTGGAGAAATGTTGCAACACACACTGTGACATGATACATCGGTACACATCTTGACATTACAATACCCCACAATGCGACGCTTTAACGTGAGGTAAAACTTCCAGAAAACAGAAACTGCTTATTAAAATACAACCTTATGCAGTTCAGTACAACTTAACAAAGTGGAGTTGGCCTAAACCAAAAACAGTTAATCAGAAAACAGAGGTAAACCAAAAAAACCCAGAATCCCTGATTTTTTTTTCTCTTTTAGTTGGGCAACTTTTCTAAAACAGAAACCCTGCTAAACTTAAGAAAATCCTACGGTCCCACAGATTTAAGTGGACTCCATTGTACCTTAAGATTAAAGTAACAGTACACAACACAGCCTACTACATATGCTACAACGACTTTTATATGTGAAACTATGAGATGCTGTGTGACTTGACAAGATATGATGGGATACAGTGAAGTGCAACACTAGTGTAAGTTGAAATCCTGTTATCTAAAATGCTTTACTACATGTATGTTTGACCTAACTTATGCACACACACACACACACACACACACACACACACACACACACACATGAACACATACACACACACACACACACACACACACACACACGCATGCACGCACACATGCGCACGCGCACTCGCACACACTCACACACAAACACACATACTAATGCTATGGCCAACTCTTAAGAATGTATGCAAGACATTACAGCCCTAAACTGAAGAAATGTTGCTTGCCAGCACTAGATGACCGTTATTGGGTTGACGTGCTTCTCTTTGCTCAAACAAACAAACAAAACAAACAAAAAGTTGCCTTGATACTCTGTCTGTCTGTCTGTCTGTCTGTCTGTCTGTCTGTCTATCTGTCTTTCTATCTGTCTGTCTGTCTGTCTGTCTGTCTGTCTGTCTGTCTGTCTGTCTGTCTGTCTGTCTGCTTGTCTGTCTGCTTGTCTGTCTGCTTGTCTGTCTGTCTGTCTGTCTATTTTTCTTTTTTCTATCAGTGCTATTCATTTATATCTAGTGTTGACTGATGTCTCTATAATGGTGATCAGTCAGTATATCATCCAATCGAAAATTTGGCCTGTCTTGCTTACCTTGGAGTGATTATGTAAGTGATTCCATTAAGCTTTATACACCTAGCAAAGTATTTCCATGAGGAAATTTGCAGGTACCCTGGTGTGGTTTGCTCCTTCTTTCTGATCAAACTTCTATCGTCCTTATCTCTCCTTCTTTTTTGTGTCTGTTACTCCTTATATGGCAAAATTGTGTTGCCAGTGCCGTAAAACTCTAACTTAAACGTAAGTGATCCCATATTTAAGCTTCATGCACCATACAAAAATTTCCATGCGGGCATTCAAATTGATAGAATGCAATGACAGAATATTTAATTTAATGAAAGAGCAAATTTTTGAAAATGCTTGTGTGCAAAAGCACCATTGCTGTTTCTATATCCTGAGAAAGATCCTTGTCTGTTAATGGTGAAAATTTTATAAATAAATGTGTTGTCTGGTCTATCTTCAGGAAGTTCAATGCTGAGAACGCTGCTGTGTACGGAACTCTTATCTCGCTGTTCGTTGTTTTTGTTTTTCTGGCTCTGTGGGCTCGACGGAAAGTGAAAGAGGACATAGATAGGGTAAGCAATGTTTAATGGTACGACGGCAGTTTTCTTAATTTGTTGTCTCGCAAATTAGCTAATGTTAGGGTAAACAATGTTTGATGTTATAATGGCAGTGCTATTAATTTATTGTCTTAGGGTAAACAGTGTTTGATTTTTTTGTTTTTTGTTTTTGTTTTTTTTTCAAATTGTTTTTTTTTTTTACCCTGCCCATTTCTATCAACTGGGACTGGGGGCTCTCGTGGCCTAGAGGTTAAGGTGTTGGCCTCTCATTCAAAGGTCCCGGGTTCGAATCCGTGTAGCGACCAAAAAAATTTTCTTCTCTAAAATTGTCTCCTTTCACCTCCTTTCCTGCTCTCTAGCAATGTTCTGTTGTCTGCTTTCATTTCCACTTTCTGCCCCCACCCCCACCCCCTCACCTCCTTTGCCCCCTCCTCTGGGCTCCTGACTCTTTCTGCAGCCTTTCTAATGCTACTCCTTGGCTCCTCCTAACTGCTGTCTTTCTGTCACACCTCTGATCTTCTGGTAGGAAAGATCTACACCTAGCCTTCTCGTACAAGGGCGAAAAATCTCAGAGGGCCCGTGTGCAAGTTGCGCACGTTAAAGATCCCTTGGTGGTCTAAAATTGATAAGAGTAGGCTTCGGCTGCCACCCGGGCAAAATTCAAAATTTCCTACCAACTGAAAATATTAGGTGTGTCCTGCGTGCTCATATGACCTTATGCGGTTGCGAGCGCCGTAAAACACTTTACAAAAACAAAAATTAACTGGGACTTTCGTGTTTAGTAGTAACAACAACAGCAAAAATTGTGCAGCATTTTGAATTTTAAAATAATTAACTGTTACTATTAGTGAAAAAATCATGTTTGATGTTATAATGGCAGTGCTATTGATTTATTGTCTCAGGGTAAACAAAGTTTGATGGTATGACAGCAGTGTTTTTAATTTGTGAGGCAGCGTGGTGGAATCAGGCTCTCCTCAATTTTTGGGCATGTAGAGTTATTGGTATCATCTTAAAGCTTGTTTACTTGTCTTTATTTTGATGAAAAAAATATTCATTTATCTGGAATACAAGTCGAGATATTTGCGAAAGAAGGAGGTGGGGCTCACTTGTTTTCAGAAGTAAAATTAGTGAGAAAATGGCCGCCAAAGATTAGTTCTTTCGTTAGCTTAAGAGTCCGTGATAACTGAAAAGTTACATTTTTTGTGCCTTTAATCAACGTTTTTCAGAAAAATCCACACAGAAATGAGTTTTTTAATGGACATGAAAGGTGTTGAGCCAAAAAACAAAAATTTGATAAAAATTCACAAACCTGCGGATAAATGCAAGTTTCTTCACTTTGATTATTTTGACGAGAGCCTGATCCCACCACGCTGCCTCACATTTATTGTTTTAGGGTAAGCAGTGTTATTGATTTATTGTCTCAAAAAGGTTGTTCCCAGGTAGCCGTTTAGCATGAGTGGTTGGCACTTATGTGACTTGTAATTCATGTTGTGAGTGCCATAAAACTTTGTTAAAAAAACTAACTATAACAGGTATTTAGCAATACTCAGATGTTGTTAATTATTGATCTTTAACCTTCGTGTCGTTGCATTCATCACTTTGGGTCATCTGGTTCAGTACCTGCTGTATAACGGCTATTACTGCCTGCTATGGGATTTGATTTTCTACCATTTTACAAAAGTTTCCTGACAATTTTGATATTTGTGAGGCAGCATGGTGGAATCAGGCTCTCGTCAAAATAATGAAATAGAAGAAAACCGCTGTTTTCTCCCTGCTTAGCAATTTTTATCAAATTTTGGGTTTTTTGGGCTCAAAACGTTTTATGTCCATTTACAAACACATTCCTTTGAGGATTTCACGCAAAATGTTGATTATAGGCACAAAAATATAAAGTTACAATTTCCATGGACTCTCCAGCTTTGGAATTTACCAAGCTTTGGCTGCCATTTTCTTGCTAATTTTACCTCTTAAATCAAGTGACCCCCACCTCCTTCAATCCAAAATATCTCCACTTCTATTGAAGATGGATGGATGATTTTTTCATTGAAAGCAAGACAAATGAACAAGCTTTAAGATGATACCAATAACTCAATATGCCCAAAAATTGACGAGAGCCTGATTCCACCACGCTGCCTCACATTTTCTTTCCCCTATGTCAAGTAGCCACTGTCTCAATGCTTGTGTTCAGGGTGGTAAATGTAACATTTACCGATCAATCTCTTATGAGAGCACCAAGGTCAAAAACTGGCGAGGAGATTCTTTTCTCTTCTCTTCTCATCTGGCTCCATCTATCCAGAACTCTCTCTCTCTCTCTCCCTCTCTCTCTTTCTCTCTCTCTCTCTCTCTCTCTCTCTCTCTCTTTCTCTTTCTCTTTCTCTCTCT